TCTCTCTCTCCTGCGTCCCACACCCTGGCCTACTGGATCACAGCTGCCCGCGTGCCTGCTAATCATGTTTGTTGGTTCTGAGATGATTGAGAGTGAAAGTGTCTTAACTTGTCAGAATAAATAAAGTTTCCTCCAGAAGTCTGCCCAGAGTGTACTGGACAGAAGTCCTGGGGTTTCTGCAGTGGAAGGTTAGCGGTCTGCATGGGTCCTTGTATGTTTTGTAGCGCAGACATTTGCATTCTGTGTTGAACTGTGCTCTTATTTAGGGACCTACAGAGAGAGAATATTGATAATACCACACATAGATTTTTCTGGTGAAGCTGAAAAACATTTGCCTGACCTTGAGATGTGGAATAGTGCATTTGGAAAAAGAGGGTTAGAATGCCAAGTTGTTTTTTTTCCTTAAAGATTGGCACCTGAGCTAACAACTGTTGCCAATCTTTTTTTTTTTTTTCTGCTTTATCTCCCCACATCCTCCCAGTACATAGTTATATATCTTAGTTGCAAGTCCTTCTAGTTGTGGCATATGGGATGCTGCCTCAACGTGGCTCGACAAGCGGTGCCATGTCCGCGCCCAGGATTCAAACCAGCGAAACCCTGGGCCGCCACAGCAGAGCACGCGAACTTAACCACTCAGCCACGGGGCCAGCCCCCCAAATTTAAAAATTATTTAAGAAGCCTCAGACTTCTGGGTGATATTTAATACTATTTTTAACCCACAGTTTTTGACTAAAAGGTGACCCATTGTAATCACGTGAGGTCAGTGGCCTGGAAGCTTCGTGGTCTGTACTGCCCCTCTGGAGTCAGTGGTCTTGTGGAGAGTTCAAGGATTTGCCCATTGAATGGGCCTCCCTGAGTCACAGTCTGCTGCCCTGCCTGGCCCACTTCTCGCTGGTCCCCTGTTCCACCAGTTCTCAGCCCTGCTGTGGCTCACAGCTGAGGGACCGAGGATGCCTGTAGGGTCCTGAGGGTGAATGAAACAGCCTGCTGTAGCCAGAGGCAGCCAGCCGGGGGCTCTGAGGGGTCAACGGCTCTGACCCCTGTATCCTAGGCTCACCCGCTGGATTGGGAAATTCTCTTTTACAACTACTATTCAGACCTCATGGAATTAGATTTCTTTGCTGCATTACATGTGGCAGGTAGTCATTTTAAGTGGAATTGCTTAGTTTAACAAAGGTCTTATGTGGCATAAAAAAACAAGTACTAGAAAAAATATGTAGTATGATGCCCAATTTTGCAAAGCTCAGAAACAAGAAAAACTCGTATGTTGTCTGGGGAAACACACGTGGTAGAATAAAGGAAATCAAGACAATTACAAACAAAAATCACAATTAGCGGTACTTCGAGGGAAGGGCAGTGAGAGTGGGTTGGGAAGCCCGCGCAGAGAGCTGAATTAGCACTGGGCGTGTTCGAGGTCTTCAATTGGATGTTGAGTGTATAGAGGTTTATTAGGAACATGCCTTATAACTTACACGTAGACTTTCCCTTTGATAGTATCATACTGCATAACGAAAGTAAATTAACAAGTAGAGAATATCTGGAAAGAAAAAGTCTTAGCACAATTCTTATTCTTGCCCCTAATTGTATTATGAATATTTTAAAATTACAAACATAATGGAGTAACATTAAGGGAAAGTTACAGGGAGGGAACCGCTGTCACACCAGTCCCCTCATGTTCTTAGCTGCAATCTTGATGTACGTTGCTGTGTACCTTTATATTGTACAGTGAACTGATGGTCTTTACGGCCGTTAGCTTTCATGGCTGAATAATATTCCATGAGTGGTCACTATCATGGTGGACTCACCATTCCTCTATGGCAGAATATTCTAGCTGTTTCAACTTTCCTGCTGTTACAGAATGTCTTCAAGCTCTTGTATCATTCCACAAATAATTTGTCTATGTGTAAGGCATTCTGCTACGTGTTAGAATTGCAGCGGGAAGCACAAAGATCCATAATCTCTGTCCTTGTGGAATTTAGAATCGTATGGCCTACAGTTCTTGATGATATTTTGTGTTTTAACCACTTTAATCCTCAGACTATTTTAAAAACTTTTTATTTTGAGAGAATTGTAGATCTACATGCAAACGTTTAAGAAACAATACAAAGAGATCCCATATGCCCTTTGCCGCGTTTCCCCCGGTGGTCACATCTTTCGTAACGACAATTCCACAACCAGGAAATTGACGGTGACACAGTCCACCAAGCTTATTCAGATGTCACCAGTTTTACATGTAATTCATTGGTGTGCATGTCTGTATATGTGTTTCTATGCAGTTTTGTCACGTGTGTAGATGGGTGTGAGCACCACCACGGTAAAGGCACGGAGCAGTTTCCACCATAAGGATCCCTCCTGCTACCGTTTTGTAGCCATGGCCCCATCTCTCCCTCTCCCCGTCCCTAAACCCTGACAGCCACGAATCTGTTCTCTCTAGTTTTATCATATGAAGGATGTTACATAAATGGAATCTTATAGTATGTAACCTCGTGGGACTGGATTTTGTCACTCAGCATAACTGCCTTGAGATCCATCCAAATTGTGGGTATCAACAGTTTGTTCCCTTACATTGCTGAGTAATATTCCATTGCATGGAGGCATCACACTCATACATTGAGGGACATCTAGGCTCTTTCCAGTTTTGCGCCATTACAAATAAAGCTGTTATGGACATTTCCTCAACCTCTGTCTTGATGATTACATGTGAAAGGGAGTTTGGGGTGTCTTTGTAGAATCCAGAGTGAGCCTCTGCTAAATGTATGGTGTTCGGGCTTTAATATTTTGTGTCTCAGAATACATTAATTTGTCTACATGGCTAAAATCTTCTTTTATTCATGTAACAAAGGAAGCCAATCCCAACGCCTTCTTTGTTGTCCTTCAGAACTTCTGAGGGCGAGGCCTCAGTCTCCTCCCGAGCTGTTGTCCCCGAGGCATGGGGCCTGTCACAGCCTCCTCCTGCAGAGGCTGCTCCGTGGGCGTTGGCTCAGCGCAGGCCTTCGGTCCGTGGAGTGACGGGGGATTTGGAAGGACGGGTCCACAGGGCATGGAGAAGATACGTTTGCACTTTAAAACGAACTCCCTGATCTTGCTGCTTAGCTCCAAATAGTAAATAAATCTCTGGGTTTTTAATCTCTTCCAAAACTAAGAAAAGCCAAATAATAACTACAGCCAGTTGAACTTGCCGTATGTTTAGAAAGGAAACTGGGTCTCGGGGCAAAGCAGACCAAGGAGGGGGTAGCCGTGCGGTGTACCAACCTTGCCTTCGAGAGGGCGGGACTCTCCCGCCTGCCGTGCGGCCATGTGTGTGCACACCCACACACCCGAGCTGCTCTCTGCCTGGGGACTCTGCTCTCTGTGTGTTGTCTGCCACCTCCCGAGCCTGAGACGGAGAACACATAGGCCACACCGCGGGACGTGTTTTGAGGAGGCTTATCTGATGACTTGTGTGTTTATGACTTAGGTCAGACACTTCGCCATGTCGATTTTTATTGCTTTTATTTCTTTTGAATGAATGGCTATGGTTCTCACCTCCCAAGGAAGGCGTGAAGCCCAGGAACCTCCAGGGGCTGCACAATAACTGGTGTATGGTGGTGGCCGACCTTGGCCCCACTGGTGATGGCCCTGGACCTCCTGGAGGCCTGGTCAGCAGCAGGAGAGTACAACTGGGTGATGTGGCCTTCTGAGCCTTCTGTCCATGAGCCAGCAGTTGGGGGCCCCGGAAAACAATTCCACTATCTCATTTACTCTTTTGCTTTTTACTTTTTTTTTTTTTCAGTCTCATTGTTCTTAACACAAAGCCTAAAATTTTTAACAGGATAAAGTCTAAAATCCGAGCCTGGTGTGGTCTAGTCTGTGCCTGCCTCTCTGAGACCCACCTGGTGCCACGCAGCCCCTTCTCCACCCTGCAGGCCGTGTGCACAGGCCATTTTCTTTCCATCGTCACCCATGCCTGCCCACCACAGGTCCTTGGTGCGTGCTGTTTGCTCTGCCTGGAACACCATCTGCCCCCCTCGCTCCATCTGCATTTGTCAAGTACTCCTTTGCACCCCTAAGCCAGATCTTGGCTTAAATACAGCTTTCTCATGGAAGCCTTCCCTGACCCATCAGATGAGGTGTTGAGCCCCTTCCACATGCCTCAGAGCACCCCTGCTTTCCTTCACTGACCCTATCCCCATTTACGATGATGTGTATCGACTCTGGAGTTGCTGGTGTCATTGCCCCCACCCCCCACTCCACCCCTCCCAGACCCTCATAAAGATGACAAGCCTGTTCCCTTCACCACGGACTCAGGGCCTGGGGCAGTGTCTGGCACATAGTAGCTGCTCAATAAATATTTGTTGACTTAATGAATTAACTCAGGGAAATGGCCACCCCCTTAAATTACCTTAGCAGGTTTAACACAGAATTTCTTATTTTAAAAATGAAGGGCATAGTGGTTAAGTTTGTACACTCCACTTCAGGCAGCCTGGGGTTCCTGGGTTCAGATCTCAGGCAGAGACCCACACACCACTCCTCAAGCCATGCTGAGGTGGCATCTCACATACAAAATAGAGGAAGATTGGTGCAGATGTTAGCTCAGCGACAATCTTCCTCAAGCAAAAAGAGGAAGATTGGCAACAGATGTTAGCTCAGGGTCAATCTTCCTCACCAAAAAAAAAAAAAAAAAAAAGGAAATTAGCGCTTATTCTTTTTTTTTTTAAGATTTTATTTTTCCTTTTTCTCCCAAAGCCCCCCTAGTACGTAGTTGCATATTTTAGTTGTGGGTCCCTCTAGTTGTGGCATGTGGGACGCCACCTCAGCGTGGCCTGATGAGTGGTGCCGTGTCTGCACCCAGGATCCGAACCAGTGAAACCCTGGGCCGCGGAAGCAGAGCGCACGAACTTAACCACTCAGCCACAGGGCCGGCCCCAAGCACTTATTCTTAAAGGTCTAGTTATCTATTTCTATAAAGTGATTGACCTGTCCTTGAAGTCTGTGACTGTAACTCATTTTCTCTCTTTCAGGTGGGGACCAGGGTTTACTGAACACATTTTTTAGCAGCTGGGCAACGACAGATATCAGAAAACACCTGCCATTTATTTATAACCTAAGCAGCATTTCTATCTACTCCTACCTCCCAGCATTTAAAGCGTAAGTTGTCGTTGGGGGTGGTGAGGGCAGGGGGTGGGGTTTGAGACTTTCTGGTTTCCTCGGCTGTCATTCTGCGGGCAGTAATGGGGTGGAGGGGTGCTTGGAGGGGCGTCTTGCTGTGTAAGAAGCATGGCTGTAATGGGGGGAGGCCTTGATGTCCTCAATCGCTTCACATTTGGGGTGACCCAGCGGGCACTTGGCTGCCTCACGGGACAAGGCTCCCATGGGTTCCTGGGGTGCCCGGCCCTCTGATGAATCGTCCGTGTGTCATGGTCCAGCACCAAGACTGGGCACAAACCCCGCTTCTGCCTCATGCTGGCTGCTGAGCTTCAGTCCCTCCCCTCTGAGATGAGGGTGTGAGCAGCTCCCTCCACGGTCCTTGTGCCGATTTAGCAAGCTGCTGGCAGAGTCGTGTCCTGGTCCAGAGCAGGGCTGCGGAGCCGGACTTGCTCAGTCACGTCCTGGGGCAGCCACTTCCTGGGCGGTTCCCGGTCCCTGAACTCTAGTTCAGTACAAGCTGGGCTTGTGACTGCTCTTCTCTCTGCCTCAGTGTCCTCCGAAGGTCACCAGGAGCATCGAGGGAGGGAATCTCATGACGTGGTTAGAAGAGGGCGTGGCCTGCCCTGGGCACTCGGGAAACGGGGGTCTTTGGTGGTTTTTGTTGAGAGGTGGTCCAGCAGTAAGTCCCCTCTGAGGCCAGAAGGGCAGGGCGCCTGTCCCCATCAGCATTCACCTACTGCACGGCTCAGGCTCTGTGCCTCAGTTGCCCCATATGCAAAAGGAGGAGGAAAAAAATACCTACTTTAGAGAGTTGTTGTGGGGATTAAGTGAGTTCGTACATGATAACGAGTCCAGTGGCCGTGGCTGTTTTTGGCAGCGCGCTTGTTTGGCGGTGTCTCTGGTGTGGTTCTGGTTCAGCTGCTGATGCGGACTGGTCTCGCTGTGAGGGTCTGGGCCCTGTGCTTCAGCCCTGACTCATTCGTGGTGAACCGAGAAGATGATTCAGGTCCCTTGAATGGAGGCCAAGCTGTCAGGCTGATCCTGAGACGCAGCCGTGAGCAGCGAAGCTCTTCATTGAGTGGGCTCGGCACTCCGGGCTCGGCCGCACGGGCATGCCGGAGAGCGCAGAAAACAAAGGGCCTTTCACTCGCCTTGTTTCGTGATCCAGGTCCTCTCCGCAAGGCTGCACCCCGGTAATGAGCAGCTCCGGCTTCTGTGGCCGACGTGTTCCCTTTTGTGTTCTTTTCTGGGCAGACTCTGTCAACATCCCCCAGATAAGGATTATGAGTATCTTGTGTTCTCTCCTCCCTCACAGTCCTCTTGGCAGATGTCTCCGACACATTACAACCTCTCGATTCTCTTCCCTGTCTAGAGAAACAGGTGAACTCTCACACATATGCGCTGTGGTGCAGGTAAAGCAAACAGAGCAGGATCACCATCGAGGGGCAGAATAGGAGAAGCGTTGTTTTCGCCTCTCAGTCCTTGGCCTGGTAAGGGACAAACTGTCTTGCTTGGAAATGTGGGCCTGATTCTGTTCAGTCATCATTGCCTCTTGACTAACCCTCCAGTTTGAACAGTGTTCCTGCAAACCATGACAGCTTGACCCTCCAGGACTGACTTTGTCTGTAATAGGGCAGTTGCTTAATTTAATTGACTGGATTCAGCTGAGCAAGCAAACATGAGCGTGCAAAGGAGAAAGAATCATTAGTAGTGTGAGTAATTCTACCCACCATTCCACTCGGTTCTGCACAGTGGGTGTGTGTCCTGGGATGAATATGCTGGGGAGATGTGAATCTGACATCCTTCCAGCTGGTCTCAGTTCCCAAACAGGGTTGACCTAGTATTTACAGATTCACGTTTTTCACTAATGTGGCCCCGAGTGCCTAGCAACCGTTTCCCCCATGGTTCATTTGGATGCCATCTGATTTTCAGTTTACTACCCAAACTAAACACACTGTGCCTTTCAGTGGTAACCTGGTTTGCACAGACAACTGCTTGCATTTATTTTATTTTGACAAAATAAGGTTTTGGGGGGAAGACAGGCTTACAGCTAGAACCTCAGCTCCCTCTCTCAGGAACGCACTTGTGTTTATATCTGAATGAATTTCCCAGGAAAACAGTTTGAGATCTAAATTACCGAAATGGTTAGGATGCTGTCTTCTTCCTGGCTCAACAGATGAGTGCTAATTTTGAAAATCTCCTTGGTTTATTGCCATAACCATAGGGTATGTGACACACTGGGGAAGTCGGGAGCAACTCCAGCCGTCAGCCACACATCGGCTGGCCTGTGGCTTGACGGAAGTCAATGCTGCCTCTGCGCAGCTCACTCTCGGGGGCATCGGCTCTCCATTTCCGTGATGAGACTTTTCGAAGCGATGCCCTTTCTCACCCCGCTGCTGCCTATTTAGGAATGTTGAAACCAGATTAGAGAACTCATTTTCCCTTCCCTCTGTCAGAAAATGTTTTTTCTTACAGAGATCCATCTCCAGAGACATTTTTCTTACAATTTTCTCACAATTGGGAAGGGCTAAAAAAGGCAGATAGTTACATTTATTTTTTGTCTCAAGTTAATGTCACATTGTGGCCCAAATATTTTAACTGTCATGAACATTTGGGCCACCGTGGCTACTCCACATAGAGCCCTGTGGACCCCTGGGAGCTCCGCATGAATTTGAAGCCCTACCATTGGGCTCAGAATAACCTTGGTAGTCTCCAGGACCGAGTGGCTCCGTGACGTGCTGGCCTTCCCTGGGACAGCATGGGTGGTGGCAGGTGGAAATCATGGAGGAATGTAGGGCAACTTGGGCTTCGTGGAAGAAGGAGCCAAGAATTTACCAACTCTAAGCCACCGTGTGCCGTGAGGCCACCAAGGCAGTATTTAGATGCCCCAGAGTCGTTGAGCCGTGGATGTCTCAGAACAGTGTAGCCTTGCTGTTAGGTGACATTTCCACTCAACAGTGGCCTTCGTATGAATCAAACTTAACGTGAATGTGAGCCAGAAGGTGGCACGTCTAACACCTGTCCCTGCGTGCCATTTGGACAGAACAAAACGTGAAGGAAACACACGTCCTAGTTTTACCACTTTGAATACTCAAACATAGCTTCTGAAAAACACAATTAGTCTCTTTGACACAGCATAATTTGAGAACTGAAATGCTTGGTTTAGTAGTTTTTAAGTTAATTTGTAATACAGGCATTGAAAAACAAGTTCATAAATGCATGTCTTAATGAAATAGTACTTCTGAAAGTGCCTAGCATAATCTTTGGAAAATAGCAGGCTTTTAGTCAATATGAGTTTGTTTTAGTTTTTCTCCGTTTGGAGGGTCTGTTTTATCCATATAGTGTAGAGTTTGCCGTGTGCACGGTGCCAGGCAGAATCTCACCAGTCTTGTTAAGATCAGTCATTAGTTCCAAATTAGCTTTTAGTTATATCCACTGACTAAATGCAGCTTACGTCATATCGTGCTGTATAAAAAGGGCCGAAAGCAAAGATAAATTGGTCAAATTGATTGACTGCAGAGCTTGACTTATGAAATAATTTCCGAATAAATCTTTTAGCTTACCCCTTTACTTGAGTTTAGATATGACCTGAGGTTGACCTAGTCTAGTCTCAGAAACTAGGTCTAGAAACTAAAAGATTTCTTTCTGTTTGCTTACTGCTTTGAACTTTCCTGAGGATATTCATATCCACTCTTTCTTTCTCAGAAATATGGCTTAGTCACTAACACTTTATCAAACCTTTTTAAAATCAATATTTCCCCCAAATGAAATTGGACCTTTAGCGGCCTAAATTCTGTTGTTCTTGTGTATTTCTGATTTGGTTGTTTTCCTTGATCCCGGAGGGGCCCTTGGCTCCAGCTCTCCTAGGACAGTCGTCATCGAAGCCATAGCCTTCCTGTGTCATTTCTTTTCATGCTCCTACATCTTCCCCTCAAACCCCGAGGGTTGTAGTTTGGACCACTCTTATGTTTTCAGCATCTGTTGGTCCACTCACTGTCCATTCGGTCAGCAGGACTGTGGCACAGTCCATCCTGGTTCGAGCGTTGAAGGAGAATCAAGTAGCAGCTGCACGGACGTCTTATGTCTCCTTCCCATGTATTAGTGATGCTTGTTGGCCCCAGGTGCCCCTGGTCATTCTGACTTCAGCTCTAAGTGCTTATCTCTGTCAGATGATCTGTCCTCAGATCTTACTGCCGCCTATTCCACTGCCTGACCTCAGTCCGCATCACCAAGGGAAAAGCTTCCACGTCAGACCCAGCCCAGCCTGTTAGAGGCTGCTCTGACAAAAGGCGAAAGGGCACAAGCACTGGTCCCTCATGGGCAGAGGTCCGGCTGAAAACCGCCATCGCAGTAGAAGAGGGAGCTCCTGGGAGGGAGGAGCTTGTCGGCTGAGTGGAAGACGGACCCTCCTCAGAGGTCTCAAACTAGGGGGCTGCAGACTGTATTTGTCCCACTGATATGATTTGTCTTCCTTACAGAGTTTTCTCCTTTTTTTTCTCAGTTGTCAATGCTTAAAAATTAGAGAGTTTCACACGAAAGCCAGCTTTCTAATTTCTTTTGAAAAAATCAGATATTTGGTGTGATGTGGGAGAAAGATGGCAAAGATGACTGTTAGGGGTTTGGGGCCTAAGCAGCTGGAATAAAGGAGTTGCCGTTTCCCGAGCGGGGAAAGACTGTGGGTGAAGCAGGTTTGTGGGGCAGAGATTGACCCGAGATGCTGTGGATGTATTTAGTTTGAGGTGCGTCTTAAACACGGGAAAGTGTGGACTAGGTAAATAGAGAGAACTGGGAGTTCAGGAGAGAGGCCTGGGCGAGGCACAACCGTAGGAGGTGTCCACACCTCAGTGATGTTTATAGCCATGAGACAAGATGAGGAACCAAGAGAGTGCTTATGATCGAAAAGAGTCCTGCAGACTGAGCCCTGAGGCAGGACAATGAGGAGGAGAGGGGACGAGAGACCATGAACAGCGAGGCAGGAGGAAACCCAGCAAACCGAGGTG